CAGCTGTCTGAAGGAGGAAGTGAAGAAAAATCTCCTTTGTTGGCTGTTGTGCCTGGTTCCTGGTACAACTTCTAGGTCACTGTGATGACTTGGAAAGCCAGCCTGGCTCTTTTTCCCTGCACATGCCTCTTCCATACGTCTACCAAGATGCAGCTACAAGAGTACAAGAGTAGTCCTAATCCTGGGGCTGTAGTTAAGGCTGTCTATCCCTCCAGGGTTTTCCTAAACGAAAAGCCTCAGAATCAGGCCAGCTTTAATTCTCTTTACTTTTAAAGTCTCCTTAACAGCCAGTTTGGAAGTTGATTGGGGAAGCAGGGAAATTACAAGCAGGGGGCATTCACAGGGCCTTCCACCAAAACTGTAGTACAGAGAGAGCAAAAGGATGTCAGTCTTGGGCTGCTTGACTGAATCTAATGTGAGTGAGATGATACACACAGGAGAGACCAACATTTTTTCTAGATTTGAACCCTTTCAGATTCCTGAGGAAATGGGCATAGATGTTGCTTTCCACAAAACAAGAATCTGGAAGACTTGTCAAAAGCTCATTAGGCTGGTAGAGCTTCTCTGGCTCTGGACACCATTGTTTTCCAGGCTTATCTATGAAGACAGCGTGGTCAGACAAATTCTGGGGCAAAGACAACTGTCCAACTGAACAAGATGTTCTTCTGGCATGATGGGAAACCTGATGCTTTTGTCAAGAACTAGTGGATAAAACCAACCTGAAACGTGTGCAGAACATCAGCAGGGAGAACTTAATTCCACAGAAGGATGCATTTGCCTGAGTCACTGACGTTTTCCACATGTTGCAAGATTGCCATGAACCTGTATTTGGTGTCCCTGCTTGTTCACCTCCACTACACATTGAAATACAGAAGTTGTCTGTAACTCCTGTTACACTGAACTGTTTGGACAGTTTTGGTTCTGGCAAAGTTACCTGGAGTCTTGCAAGGACTAGGAGCACCCACGCACATCCAGATCAGCAAAACATCAGCTGTGCTCTGAAGCAACTGTTGGTGATGACATATTTTGTGACAGGAAGTGATTACAACATAGTGGGTTCTCAGGATTAAAAATTTGTGTTCTGCTCAGAAACATACATGCAACTGGTATGTTCTAAACATAGATTCCTTTGGGTTTTGTTCTGGGACAAAAATCAAAACCACTTTTCAGGATTTATTGTTTAATCATTAACGCCTGGGCAATCAGTAAATTTGTTACTGCTACAATCGCTGATTTTCCACTGGAAAAAAAAAAGCAAAGTTAAAGTTCAACCATAACTATTGAGTTTGCCCATGCCAATCAAACAAGAGACAAGCCATTATAATGTCTCACTAAATTGTTCTCTGGATAATTGCCTAGGCAATATCAAGGAGTTAGATAGAAGACTGGTAGATCCATTAATATAATTTAGATTCTCTAGCATAGCAAGGTTCAAAACAGCCTTGAATCATTTCATCCTTATCAGACTAGCAAGAGGTAGGCCTGTCACCATGCCTTGTGATGGAATGACCCAGCAAGAGCTGCAAGGTAAGCAAACAGAAAATCTTCCTGCCGATCACTTGAAAAGGAAGCAATGCAGAAAGAAAATAGCAGGAGTTCCTGTGCAGGAACAACTGTTCCTGTTGGAGCAGGCCTATTCAGTGTCTGATTAGAATGATTGAAGTTTATTGCTGATATATGAAATGCAAACAAATGAAAACCCCTAAACAAGCAAACAAAACCCCTCCCCTACTCTTGTCCTGAGCTCCTTAGAGCTTTGTTCTGCCCAGAAGTTGTACCTATTTCCCAATTCACTGCCACCTTATGGCATTTCAGAGAGATAACACCTCAGTAATTTCTCTCGGACACCTCGTGTATTCAGGCAACCTCCCTGGGCACTTGCACATCACAGAGACACAGCAGCTGTAAAAACTGCCCTGTGCATCCAGACTTGGAACAATATTGATGCTTGGGATGCTGGGTTATAATAGCTTGTGAAAACTCATCATTAAAACGTCAATTCTATTTATATTTGCAGATTCTAAAGGGAGGTCATTTCATCAGCCAAGGGGCCAAAAATAAATATGGACTTTGCAATGTTGTCAAAAGAGAATCTTTCAGTCTAAAAAAGCAACTAGCTCACTCATGACTCTCACAAATGGTTTTAATTGTCAGTCCATTTTTGAAATTGAGGATGAAAGCTTAATAGATGCCCTTATTGTGTGTTTAGGGTTTTTCTGAGAGGAGTCTTGGTTAAGGAAAGAATCTATGAACAGACTTACAGAAATTGGAGGTGCTTTATGCTTTTTCATCCCCTCAACGACGTCACAATTTTACTTTAAAACATGGTTGTGGTTTCCTGGTGGATGAGGAGATACTACAACTTGAATGGCCAGGCTTTGGAGACTTGGTTGCTTAATTATGAAACAGAAATATGTGCAGGATTGCCAAATATGAAATACTGCAGCTGGGATTTTTGTAATATGCATTCCCCTGTGGATGGGTAGGCTTGGTATTCAGAAAAGTGTCAATCAAGTTGTGGTTTTGATACAGATTACTTTGGTATTGAAGAGGAAACAGGGTGATTTTAGAGAAGGGCTATACCAGGTAAAGGAGGACAAGCACAAACTTATTTTCTTGAAGTAGCTTGTTCTCTGCAAGGAAATGAAGTTGATTTCCCATTTTTATTATCAAGTTGCAGACTCATTACAAAGCTTTAAGGGACATTTTTCAAATGGGCACCATCAGTATAAATTATGCATTGGTCTGATTTTTATTTACCACTATCATGAGTAATAGCAAATGCTGAAAAGCAAAGAGCTCACCCTCCCCCACCTGCTGTTTTTCAGACTGCCAACTTTTTCAAGAAACAAAGCTCGGCTGTCTCTCCTAAGTCAGTTCTCCTGTTTATGTAGTAATTTGAAAGAACTTTGTCAGAAAATAAGAAAAGGTGATTTGTGTTAGCATTTTGATGCCAAAAGCCAGAAAAAATAATGACTGGAATGCCTGGTGGTACATTTCAGGTACAAGAGAGCTGGCCACAGCCTGGTGGCATATGTACTTTGTTGTTTTATGTAAGAATGTTCTTCAGAGAGCTAACCCAATCTGTAACCCTAATTTTTGACAACTGCTCAGCGAACAGTAGAGAAAATGTCATTTTCACTGTTGGCAGCTCATTGAAGCTGTGTCTAAGTAACATTTGACACAGTGGTGCTTCAGAGGGGGGTTGGAACAATGAGTATGGTAGGGTGGCTTGGGGTGGCTGCAGTACCACTCCTGTGCTGTGACTTCAGTGTCTCTTAGCCCTGGCTAGGGCACAGCACTCTCACTTATCAGGCTCCCAGCCTTACAGAGGTAGATCCTGAAGAATCAAACCTTAAACAGTCCCATGGCCATTGTAGTAGGTAAAACCACTCATCATTTATCAGGCAAGAAAAAAAGGCTTCCAGCAAGCCAACCACCCCAGGGCGAACAAAGTGCTGAACAGGACCATTTTGAGAGACTGGGTTTGTTTTTGGCTTTGTAAAACAGCTCTTGTAAAGGATAAATTTCAGCTGCCTTTGGCCAGGTCTTTGTTTGGTCACATAGCAGTGGTGTTCAGAACAGGGCTGCAAAAAAGGTAAATCTGGCAATATTTTGATGCCTTAAAAGAAAACAGCAGTCTTAGTCTCTAACACTGGCAGAATATCTTCCTGCTAGTCCAAGTTATTTTGTTTGTGGTATAAACTATTCTGGCAGGAGCACTTCTTGTTTTTTTTAATGGCATAAGCAAGCGGTGCTCAGTTTTTGCTGATGTCTGCCGAGTAATTTCACTGAGTTCACAGCAGGCAGCAGTGCTCCAGTGCTGGCTGTGCCAGGGCTGGGAGCTGCTGCCCCCAGGGATGCTCCAGAGCCCTGAAGAAGGACAAGTTCTTCCAGAACAGTGCCTGAAACTCTGGCCAGGGCCAAGCTCAATCTATGGTGGCAGTGGGACCTAACGATGAGAGTGTTTAGTGCCTCAATAAAACTGTGTTTCCTGTGAGGAAGCCTTGCTGTTAACAGCTGAACCGGGAGGACTTTCTATGAGCCTTGATCTTCTTTCACCTGCTTGGCCCAGTTGGTGCAGAACGGGTTCACCATCGCTCTATGAACCACATTCATGACTGTTCTGCCCCCGTCTCCTGCTGGGAAGCTGCAGAGGGACTGCTCACAAGAGCTTGTCGTGACCAGGCAAAGGGAATGGCTTCAAACTGGAAGAGGGTAGGGTTAGATTAGGTATTTGGAAGAAATTCTTTACATGAGACACTGGAACAGGCTACATGGAAGAGTTGTGAATGGCCCATCCCTGGAAATGTTCAAGGCCAGGTTGGATGGGCTTGGAGCAACCTGGTCTAGTGGAAGGTGTCCCTGCCCGTGGCGGAGGGATGGGAACTGAAGGGTCTTGAGGAGCCTTTCCAACCCAAACCGTTCTGTGATTCTATGACAGCACTGCGCGCGTCAGCGCCATTTCCTTCACGGCTCAATGAAGCAGAACCTCTGTGCCTGGCGGGTTTTGAGCACAAACCCCACAGTTTCGGGTTTCCTTTCGCGCTGCCCCAAACACGCTCCCGTCGGGACGGGACGCGGGGGCGCGCTTGAGGGGCGGTGCCCGGCCGAACTGCGCATGCGCGCTTCCCTCCCCCGGCCCCCACAGAGGTGAGCGGCCGTGCCCCGTCGGGAGCGGGCGCGCCCGTGGCCCCGCGCCTCGCGATTGGCTCCCTGCAGGCAGCCTCATCGCTGCCAGCCAATCGCAGCCCGCGGCCGCTCTCCGCCTCGGGCTGCGGCTTAAAGACGTCCCAGGGCTGGGTGACGGAGGCAGCGCGTCTCTTGATTGGCTCTCCCTCGTCGGCTCCGATCGGGTTGGCCCGGCGATGGCCGGAAGAGAGCCCTCCTTTCCATTGGCCGCCCGCCCGCGCTGCTAGGGCGGCGGCGGCGTGCTCCGATTGGGTCTCCGCTTTACTTCGGGGAGAATCGGTCGCGCCCGCGGTGGTTCCGTGATTGGTTCCGGCCAGTTACAGGCATTCTTGTAACGGCCTCAGGATTGGCCCCGAAAAGGCTCGGGCGTTTCCGTAAAGGCCTCGGGCTGGGGGCTCGCGGGCGCGCCGGGCTCTTCGGCCGGGTATTCACAGACGGCGCTTACGGCTGCTCCGCAGCGTAGGGCGGCGGCGGGCACGGGCGGCTGCGCGGCTTTGGCGCACGCACAGAGCGCAGCGGCGGGAGCCCGGCACGCAGCGGAGGGAGCAGCGGGGACAAAGGGACTGATCGGCAGGAACAGGGAGGGGGGCCCGGCGGGAGACTTCAGCCGGGCGAACGAGTCCTATGTGCCTTGGGCGCCTGGGGAAACAGCAGCAAAAGCGGCGACCGCCGCCAGCACTCTGAAGCCGGGCTGAGGAGGAGCAGGGAAACTGCCGCCGTCATGGCCCGTGCCGTCGCCGCCGGCCGCCGTCCGCAGTGCAGCGTGCCCTGCCTGAGCCGCCGCCAGCTGCCCGTGCGGGCGCAATGAGCGGCCGCACCGCCGGAGCCGCCGCCGCCTCAGCGCCGCACTGAGCAGCAGCGTCAGCGAGCAGCGAGGCCGCCCGGCCGCCTCACCCCCCTCCGCGCGCCGCGGATCCCGCCGCCACCACCGGATCCTATTGCGACTCGTTGCCGCATCGCCTCCGCTCGGCGGTGCCCTGAATCCCTCCGCCAGGGAAAAAAAATAGTCCCGTTGCCTGCCGCCTCCCTCAGAGGCGAGGGGGAAGGAGAGGAACGGGGAGGGGGGAAGGAAGAGAAGGAAGAAAAAGAAGAAAAGGGAAAAAAAGAGATAAAGCAAATAAAAGGAGAGAAACGCGGCGGCGGCGGGATCGGAGGAGCCGGGCCGCGAGCCTCCGCCCCATGTGACTGGCGCCCGGGGTGGGGGCAGCGAGGCCCAGCGAACCCCCCTCGCTCGGGAGCGGCGCCGGGGGGAGGCGGCTCTCGGACCCACCGGCGCGGCCGGGAAGGATGATCGTGTGAGGAGCGGGCGGCGTGAGGAGGAGCAGCAGGAAGCAGGAGAAGAAGAAGCAGCCGCTGGGCGACAGAGACCGAGAGGGGAGGGGGCTTCCCCGGGGGGGGAAGGGGGGGTCCCGGCGTTTCATGTGGCGCGTCCCACCCGTCTCCTGCAGCTGAGCGAGCGAGGGAGCGGCAGGCGGGCCCGCCGGGGCGAGGCGGAGGGCGAAGGCAGGAAGAGGAGAGAGGTGATCGCCGTTGGGGCAGAGCGGGAGAGAGACCATGTCCGGGCGGCCCAGGACCACCTCCTTCGCGGAGAGCTGCAAGCCGGTGCAGCAGCCCTCGGCCTTCGGCAGCATGAAAGTCAGCCGTGAGTATCCTGCTCCCCTCGGGTGGGGGGGTGAGGGCCGGGGAAGCTGCCCCCGCCCTTCGCCCAGGCGGGGAGCGGCGAAGGGAGCCTGGCCCCAGCCCCGGCCTCGGCAGCTCCTTTCTCTCCCCTTCCCCCCCCATTAACCTTGAATAGGCGCACGCCGCCGCTCCGTTCGGGGCCTGCTGGACGGAAAATCCCGGTGGGTTTGTCCTCGTCCTTAGCTCCTGGTCGCTGCCAGCGGCCTCTGGCTCATTAAAAAGCCATTTTTCCCCCTTTGTGAAACGGATTGGGAGCTCCGTAGTCTGTATTTCCTTTTCATTCCCCCCCTCCTCCCACCGAAAGGAGGAAACGAATTGCGGGCACACAGGTATGACCGTGACATTCACGTTCATTATGTGTTTTTTTGAGGTTTTTTTTTAAAGCACTCCTGGCTGTTAAGGGGAGAGAGCATGGAAGGTTTTTCCATGCACCCGTAGATCGGGTGTGAGCACCTTTTAGTCCAGCCCATTAAAAAAAAAAAAAGGAGGGGGAGGGGAGCTTACAAAAGGTGTCTCTAATATCCTCCAGGCTCTGGTAAAATGCTCAGAAGAAGGCATAAGAAAATGCTTATTTTGAAATAACTACTCCATGGGCTCACATGTCAAGCTTGGCATTCTTTTCCCAATTTTCTGATCAGAGGAATATTTTTTTAAGAATGAGGCCTGTGCTTTATTCTGCACAGACATGTCAGAAATGCTTAATGTGTGCCCATTCTTCGTATTCTATCCGTTGGGGTTAGCTGGTTTGTGGGAATTAAAAATATGAATTAAACCTGAGCAAATGTACATTGCTGATACAAAAAGGCCCAGTTCTGAGTTGCTGTAGATCAGCTATGTGCTTATCATATGGAATTTCTTTACTCCTGATTTGAATATGTTCACATTAAGACCTGAATTGTTTTTCCAGATTTATATGAACAGTGTAGTTTTTAAAGATATTTTCTTACGGAAATGCAGGATGACATTTTGTGGGACCAGGAATATGCTCTATATGCATTCCCATTCGATTGATCTATTTGATATTAGTGTAAAGCCACACCTGACATGGCTCTATGGGTACATGCCTGTATCCATCGCAGGGGCTTGTATGTTTCATGCCAAAGCACTGGGAGAGTGTGAGCTTTTTGACAGATGAGAAATTTTGATAGTTTTTTTTGCACCGAAATGTCTTCCACTGTGGTTGAAGCCTTGAAGAGAGCATTTGGCTCAGGGGCTGTAGTCCACCTTATATCTGCATGGTCAGTGTGCCAGCAGCCCTCCAAAAACCATGGGTGCAGTTAACCCATATTAGCAGCATGACAGCGTAGGTTTGATCAGGTCCAGCATTAGTATTTATTAAGGATTATTGATCTGTACGGAGGAGAACTGTGGGTGACTCCATTTTAATTTACTGGCTCACTTTATGTGCCTGTGGGATGGAAAGCAGGTCTTGTTGATCAGTATTTCTGCAGGTGGCTGTCTAAACCGAGCGAGACCTCAACCTGTCATACTCAGCAACTAAATGTGCCTTATTCAGGCTCTGCAGCTTGATTCTTGAAAGGTCATTGATGCTCCTTTCCCGTTTATTTGAGGTCAAAGACTAGACAGATGCTTGCCTGTGAAGAGGGTGCTAACTGATGCAGACTAACAAGTTTGCAAATATGATTCAATCCCAAGTGTATAACACTGAGGGAGAAACAAAGGCCGTAACATAAAGCGCATGCACTTGTGATAACCCCCCCAGTCGCTCTAGTCATGTGCTCCTGGTCCTTCTGCTGTCTGGAAAAAAATGTCAGAACAAAGCAAGAGAACCACATTCAAGGATTCTGTGGGAAGTGTAGTTTCTATTTTCAGTTAATCCAGCCATGTAAGACAGCCTGGGAAGTTAACTTTTTTTCTTTGCTTTTTAAGTGAGAAAAATTCCAGGGTGTCAAAAAAGGTTTTATTTTTCTGGTTAGCAGAGTCTTGGTAACATCTTATCACATGATGTAGCAAGCTGTGTATTGCCGGTGTGGAGTGCTTGTGTGGTGAACAGAGTTAGGTCGGCTCTTTCATTTTGATATATATTTATAGGCTGATACTTAGTTACATTCTGAGCCAGTTTGAGTTAAAGCTGGGACAAAAGAGTCCTTGTGAGGAAGGTGAAAATTGATGGATTGGTATCTTCTGAGTGTCTTGGACATCTTTATTGCTTCTGTCTTGGTGTGGGTCTTTTGGAAGCAAAACCTGACTTGTTTGCTGTCAGCCTTTTTGCTCTCATTTGTAAGGAGGGGTGAAATCAGATGATGAAGTCACTCTTGCTGTGATGTCTGTTGCAGCTATTGCTTCTCCTGGCTGAGCGCTGCAACAGTTACCTAGGAAGGATAGATCTAAGGGATGAGAAAAGGATTCATAAAATACTGGAGGAGGGTTCATTGTTCCTTCCAGTGTTTCCTGGGAGGAGCAGAACTAGAACCCTGCTGTCATTGCGTTTCTTCCCAAGGTATATGGGGAGGAAAGACTGAGCAAGGATTTTTCATCTCTTTGCTGTGCAGTTTGTTAGATTGAATTTATGATACTTTGTTCTCAGAAGTTGGTAACTGGATGAAGCCTTGAATGGAAGGATGGGGGATTACCAACAACTGCTTCTCCTTTGACTGTTGGGAAAAATGACTTCTCATGCATGCTGCTCTCATTGCTCTGTCAGGGTTGTTACAAGGATTTTAACATCTCTGCAACAGTAGGAACCCTGTGGCCTTCATATATCTCTTTCAAGCCGTACCTCTGTCTTCTGAAATCTGACTATTTTTATTTCCCTATTTATATTTTTGTGGTTGTGAAATCACTCAACCATATGGATTTCTACCTTGAAATAGTTCTCAAATAGGGTATTCTTTGTGCAGGTTTGTATTGCTGAGTTTGCAGGCTTTCCCTGAACAAAAAACCCATGTGTACTCCTTGTGTTAAGCCTGTCCCTCAAAAGGAGGGAGCTAAGCTTCCAGTTTTCCACTTGCTGATACTATCAACCTGCTCGTTATAGTAGGAGAAGAGATAGGAGCTTGAAGTTTTCTTTTGTTCTTTACCTAGTTGCTCTTACACTGCTTATGGATGTACCTTGTTTCTCAAATGGGACAAAAATAATCCTGAAATACAAAGGGTAGTCATGCAACACATGACTAAAAATATCAGTATAAAAATAGAAGTCTCAAAGTTTACAGTTTGAGAATTTTCATCTAATGACTGTCGAATTGATTTTTTTTTCCTTCTCTGAGCTTCTGGGAAATATAAGTGTTTCAAGTAACACCAAGTCCTTGCAGACAGCAGTACTTATTGTAACTGTAGCCAGTTGTCTTGATGGTCTGCAGTAAATAATGTCTTGGCTAACACTTGCCATGAAAAGTTTTTGCTCCATGTGTGAGTGTCATGGATCTGTAATTGGTTAGGCAGGATTTGTCAACTTGGAGGGTGAGGAAGGCAGTTTTATTTGCTTTAGCTAATTCTGATGTTGACCACATACTCTTGGTTGCAAAATCTAAAGGACAGTCTTGTAATAATTCATTTTGGACTCTGTGGAAGAATGTTTCAGTGGTGCCAAACTTGGGGTTTGTTGAAGTTTTTCTTTTCTTCTTAGATTCACTGGGTTTTTTCTGTATTGTAAAATCTCCTGAAAGCACAATAGCTTGGTAAGCCTATATTGCTGTGTATTGTTCAGACAGAGTGTGATGGCTCTTTAGAAATGTTTCATGAAGGAATAAAGTCTGTGAGTTTGTTGCTCTTTTAGTGGTTATTCCACGAGCCACTACATAAAAGTGGCTGCTTTTTAGGTAGCAGTCGTGTCTAGGTGGCAGTTTAGTTTAATGCTGTGTGGTGTCCAGGTAGGTGTGTGGGAAGAGCCTTGGATAAAGGGCACCCTGGGCGCCTTCTGCGAGCAGGAATGAGTGGGGCTGTTGAAACTGGCAAAGCCACTGAGATAATACCACCTGGTGTTTCTCAACCCAGTTAGGGTAGGGCCCTCTCTATTGCTTTGATAGCAGTTTCTGCCTAATTGGTTTCTGAAACTGAAAGCTGCCCGTCCTGCTTTCCTTGCTGGAGAGAGGAAAATCACTCCTTTCCAGAAGCCTGCTGAGCGTTGTGTCTGGCTGTCGCTCATCCTAGCCCTGTCCAGCTTTCTGACTGCTGCTGGGTGAACAGCTTTCCTCATTCCTAGATTGGAAAAAAATGCACTGAGGGGGTCAGCTAATGAACATGTGTGCCTGAGTGGAAAGTGTTTCATGTTACAGTGCCCCAAAGTTGTGCCTTGCAGTCTGAAAAGGAATAGAACTGTCTGCTGTACATAATTCTGATGCTGACAGACTCTTTCCTCTTTATTCATACCATTAGCTAGTTGAGCATTCCATTTCTGTTCTGCACATTTCCTCTTCCCTACACTGCTTCTTGGAGGTGATCCCCTCTTGTATTACCCCTTGATTCACCTTGTGTGTTTCCTAGCAATATTGGAACTGTCTTGTTCACCTGTTTCCACAGCTATGGCTTATGGAGTGTGTTCCTTGCCTGTATGCATCCTGGCTCTGGAGGTTGTTGATCACCTTATCTGTTAACTTGATAGGGCCTTGTAGGTATCACAAGCAGTGCCAGGGAGATGAGAAAAGCTGAAGATCACCCCACAGCCTGAAGAGTTTCTCTCTATTGCCCTAAGAGAGTTCTTTAATTTTCTTGTATTCTATCTTTAAGAGCTTGTTTAGATAAAATATAAAGGAATTTTCCAATATTGGTGTTCAGTTTACTCATCACAGATCTTCATGAATCTCTGGGATATTGGTTGTTGCTGTTCCCTCAGCCCATGCTCTGTCTTAAACTGGATGAATGGCTGAAGAAGATTCTGAAAGTGTGAAGTGTATCTGTGTGCAAAAAGCCTGCAGTTCAAGCTTAGTGCTGCAATCACCTGTAGCATTTTCTGAAATGAATTAATGCTAAACCCCTTGGTTATTTGACACAGTAGCTAAA